TTATCCTGATTATATTTTATATTCTTTATATTTAAAATGATATGTTTGATCTATATTTAATTATGTTTATCAATTAGCTATATGAATTCAAATATATAATTTTAAAAAGTTGTATTCATACACATTTACTTGTAATCTTGAATTTCAAGTAATATACACTAAATAGTATTTGATGCATTAAAAATGATTTTTAAGAGTTTTATGCAAATGTTTTATAACATAACAAGAAGGGTACTCACGCAATGTAGTAAGATGGATCTTGATTTTAATGTTCCATTTTATTCTTTGTCTTTATCGATGTAATATGATTTTATGTGGTTTTGAAAAAATAATAATGTTTTTATTTAAATAAAATATAAATTTGAAAAAATTATATCGATATTGGTATCAAATTAACTATTTAGAATTTTTCCATGTTTGTATAATTTCTTTAATTCAAATTTTTTTATTATAATTTCATTAAATTTAATTATGTAGTAATTTATCTTTGTTTAATAATATTTAATTTTTATAAAGATAATAATTAAGTATTCTGTTAGATCTCAATAATTTCATATTTATATTTTAAATTTTTTATATTTAAAATGATATGTTTATCTTGTATTTGATTATGTTTATCCACAATTAGTTAAACGAATTTATATATAGAGCTTTAATAAATTGTATTAACACATAATACTTGTACTCTTGAATTTTAAGTAATATGTATTAATAAACAGTACTTCATGTTTAAAAATAATTTTTAATAGTTTTTATTAAATATTTTATAATATAGTATAAATATATAATTGAAGGGAGGAGAACAAGTTTAAATTATAATTAAGTCATGAAGGTGGCAACATTATAGGCCAAAACACTATCTATTTTCTTATTTATTTAATCTGTTGTAAAATTTCTCCTACTATTTCTACATCATATAAGGTTCAAATAAAAATTCAAAATAGTACGATTAGGAATTTGCATTCAGTTAAACACTCACAATTTCTAGTAAAATAAAATAAGCATGTGCAAGTTTTTAATGAAAAACCTTTATTTTATTTATCTATATTATATTATAAAGTATTTAACAAAAATTCTTGAAAACCATTTTTAATGCTTGAAGTACTATTTATTGATGTATATTACTTAAATTCAATATTACAAACAAACTGTGTGTAAATACAATTTATTAAAGCTTCATGTTTGAATTCGTATAACTAAATGTAGATTATCGTAGTCAAATACAAGATAAACATTTTATTTTAAATATAAAAAATCTAAAATATAATTAGGATAATTATTGAGTTCTAATAGAATACTTAATATATCTTTGCAAAAAATTATATATTATTAAATCAAAAATAAATTACTTCGTTATTAAATCTAAATTAAATTATAATAAAAAAATTGAATTAAAGAAATTATACGAAAAACAAGAACTTTTAAATAGTTAATTTGATACTAATATTGATATATTTATTTTTAAAACTTTTTGATATCTTCAATTTTATATTTTATTCAAAAATAAAAACATTATTCATTTCTCAAAACAACATAAAAACCATATTAAAATATCTACAGAGACGAAATAAAACGAAACATTAAAGTCGAGATATATCTCGCTGCATTGCACGAATACCCTTCTAGTATAACAACATATGTTCACATGTTTTATGTATTCATTTTGTTTAAAAACTTTATCATTTATTTATTTAAAAATTTATCATTTATTTTATTATTCTCACATCAAACTCATTACTTGAGTGTCAAACGTTTATTTATTTTGTACTCACTAATTATCCTTTTTTTAATATTTGATGATAACTAAACATATTTGTCATTATATATCAAATCAAAAAATTTACTTTTTTTTATAAAAATGGATAGAAATCATTAATTTTATTCAAACCGATTAAGCTAAAATAAAGTGAGGGAAAAGTAATTAGTTACCCAATCGTGACAAGAGAGCATGAAGTGATCAGCCGCATGAGTTTTGTTCCAGAAAGGATGTTTGGTAGAGATGACTCTGACGTAATCAGAGACAAAGTGTCGGAGTGGGGTGACGTCATAGGTATCAGGCTTGTACAGATACTTGACCATCCAGGTAACACTGAATGGCATGAAGTAAACATGCGCCCTGTCTGCATCTTTGGTTCTAAAATAATGCCCTCTCCTCCCTTGCTCCATTTCCTGTATGAACCTTCCTTCTACTGTGTATATATCTTTGCATGGCCCATCATGTACAATTGGGAGCTCACCTTCTTCGTATATATATATTTTAAATATTTTCTCCATCTCTATATAACTCCTGTATTTTTTTTTTAAATATATAATAAGTAAATATGATCAATCATATATTTATATTATCTTATAAATCAGATTTAACAAAAATCTTAAAAACAATTTTTAATACACAAAGTATTATATATTTATGCACAAAATCTTAAATCAACTCATAATGCATTAAGTACTACTACTTTATGCATTCAGCCTTAAAATCTCTTAATTTACAATTAAAATAACATATAGTATAAGTTATCAATGCACATTATTACTTATTCTTTTCATGTTCTCAAGATACTTTTGACACCTTTTACTCATGCATTCACCCTCTCATAACTCTATGTCTTCTCTCTATCTCTCAAGGTGAGATTCAAACTGATACTCACCATGAGTTATTAAAATTTCTCTCATTCATCTTCTATTCAATTGCTCTAGAACTCTCGGTCTCGCTCTCGATATCTTGATTCTTTGCTCTTGGTGTAAATCGAACACATTTGTAGAGTCGTTCAAATATGTTGGATGTTAAATACATTGGATTTTAAACTGTCATTAATTTTTTTCATCAATAGACTGTATTTGAAACCATAACTCTTATTTATTCAAATTGTATGTAAAGACCAAGTGTAACTTATATCGTCGTTGAATTTTCTCTAATAAAACCAATAAAATTCAAAATCGTTAAAATTCACGGCTCCCACCGCATTGCACGGGTACACAAGTAGTATATATATGCACACACAAATTAAGAAAAGCAATCTCGGATGCTTTCGACTTAAGATGCAGTCTTGGAGTCTGAGATTGCTTTTTTCTTTTTTTAAAAGAAGCCAAACTAAAAGAACATAAAGAAGAAAACAACTTCTTTGATGATCATGCAAGTTTTTAGGATAAAAATGAGTTGGTGATACAATTGTTGATCCCCAGCTCCCAGCAGCTTAGAATCTTCCTTCCAAGGACAATATCTTCTAAATGAATATGTTTAGCGAAAGAATTTACATGAATATGTGAAATTTGTTCGATTATTCTTTAAAAGAGCATTCGAGGAGGGAATGAGGTTCCAACACACACATACATATAGGGGTGTGCGTGCTCAAATGAAAACTTCATATATTGTGATGAGAACTTTTACCTTTAACATATTGTTTCACATGATTTTTTTTCATCAAAGACTAGCATTTAATGTATTTATCTAACATATATTTAATTTGTTTCACAGTGCCGTTGTTTCGTATGTATTCGATTGACAATGTGAAATTTTTTACATGCATTTCTTGTTTCATAAACACACCAAAAGTTTAGTAATATATGTTAATCAATACCTCAAATATAATATATATATATATATATATATATATATAGATATAGAGAGAGAAGGGGGGG